AAAAGAAAAGGAGAATGGTTAAAACAGGAAAGGAAGAAGAAAGGATGTGAGACTAGTTTCATTTGTAGAAAATCTGGGAACTGACTAATTGTATTCCCCTCATTTTAAGAAAATGTGAATGGGGATATGGCCTATTTTAATTGACAAAGTTTCTAGGTCATAATCAAAATCAGAATTTGGCATATTTGAACGAAGATGGAAAAAAAAAGAATCATTTGCGTATCAGACCGTGGGTTCTCAAATATTGATAGAATTGCCCCAGATTTTGTTTTGTGTCACTTAAGTAGTCTCCTGCTGGTTTTCTGAACTAAAAATGTTAAATGAATATTTTGGAAGATTATTTCAAGTTTGCAATTGCTAATAATGGAGCATCAGAAAAACACCAATGCATTATTTATATTTTAATCTAATCATAGGCTTTGTCACTATCTATGCACACAGTCTATTTTTGTGTTGGTCTATGTTTTCTTATTAGAAAAATAGCTTATAAGATAGAAAGATGCCATCTGTTGCTTTCAGAAAATTAAGCTCATTTAAAATTGATTACCAGAAATCCTCTGTTATTTTGTTTGTTGGCTTTGGTATCTCCTTTTAAAATAAAACTACCCAAAACAGGGTTCTTTAAAATCAAGTGAATTGGAAATCTATAGTTGTTTAGACATACCACTCCAAGTAAGATGGGTAAGAGAGTGGTATGGAAGAAAGAAGCATCAGGGGTAAGGTATTCATCCAGACCCTACTATGATCTTAATACCTCTGGTAAGTTACGTAATTTTCCTGAGATTCAGATTTTCATCTGTAGGTTGACCAAAGGGCTCAAATTCAATTTGTAAGAACTTAGAATTAATTGACAGTACCACACTATCAATTAATTACACATATGTCCCAGTCCCATTATCCAAAGGCAAAATGCCCTTGGGCAAGTAACTTAAACTCTCTGATCCTATTTTCATTACTATACAATGGAAATTATTAAAAATACATACTTTTCATGGTTTTTTTGAGAAAATTAAATGAGAAACTGTATATGAAATAAATAGCAATTGCCACATAGTGGTACCATCATTTTTTGTTGATGACCCTGGCCTAGGTCATCTAGGAAATAACCTATGACTTTTATGTCTGATTAATTGAAGAAAAATAGGAATTTAGAAATGACTGAAAAATGGTGGCACCTTCCCTTTTCCAATATCCTATATAATAAAAGGGTAATATGCAAATAGACCAAATGGCAGAAAAACCAACCAACCAATCAAAGTGTAATATGCTAATGTGATGCTAAGGCTGCTCAACTGCTCCCTATGACATACACTGACCACCAGGGGGCAGATGTCAACTGGTTGCCAGTAGCTATGATGTGCACTGATCACCAGGGGGCAGATGCTCCAACCAGTAGGTTAGCTTGCTGCTGGGGTCCGGCTGATCAGGACTGAGCGAGATGGATCGGACATGCCGTGGAGCCCTCCTGTGGTTCCTCCCTGGCCCAATCATGCACCAGTGGGGTCCCTCAGCCTGGCCTGTGCCTCTCACAATCATGGACCCCTCAGGACTGAGCGAGATGGATCGGACATGCCGTGGAGCCCTCCTGTGGTTCCTCCCTGGCCCAATCATGCACCAGTGGGGTCCCTCAGCCTGGCCTGTGCCTCTCACAATCAAGGACCCCTCAGGGGATATTGGAGAGCCGGTTTCAACCGGATCCTGCAGGCCACTCCCCTTGGGAGGGCGCCAGATGCAGGGATCATGGCTGGTGAGCTCTGCTGCAGCAGCACAAGCCTCTCCCAATTGGGACTCATTGGGCGTGAGCCCAAGGCAGGCACAGTGGGGCCGGGATGAGTGGGAGCAGCAAGTAGGAGCTGCAGGCAGCATTGGACTATGGGTTTCGGTCCAATCCTTGCAGACCACCCAGAGGGACCCCACCCATGCATGAATTCATGCATTGGGCCTCTAGTCACTAATATAAGGGGACAGATATGAAAATTCTAAGAAAGAAAGCCTCATTGATAACCTACCTATTACTACATTGTTAATGTTTACATTTTTGACATATATACAGGCAAATGAGTGAGTTAGATATAAAGGTTGCAAAATATACCAACCAGTCATTTAACAAATGCACTGAGCTCACAGAATGTTGAGCAATTCCAGTGACATCATCTACCCAGAGGGCTATGCAACATGCCTCCAGGGGGAAGATGAAGCACATGCCCCAGATACAGTTTAAAGAACAACATATCAACAAGGACAAATCAATAACCTATGAAATGAATGCCTAAGTGCTGAAGGGACCCTTTGTAAAGCTTTTTCAAAGCACCAAGATAACTAAAAGGATAGTAACAGTGTGCATAAAGGAAGGCAAATAAGACCATAACTCAGTTACAGAGCACTTAAGGCCAGACCAAGAAACAAAAAAATCAGTTTGTGAATGTTTGAATTTCTTCTCCTTCTTTCAGTTTTTATTTTGGTCGTGTTTTGTTTAAAATTCATATACAACAGTGTTTTATCAATAGGTTCTGAATAACTTGCCCCTTCTAGCATCACTTTGAATATTGTCAAAAATTTATTAAAATTATTGAAGTATAATTTACATACAATCAAATGCATTTATTAAACATTCATTTTTAAAAGAATACAAGTTTCTCAAAAATAAGAATAGCATTTATTTTGTATTTTTAAAATTTTATTTATTAAATTGATTGGGTTACATTGGTCAACATGAACATGTAGGTTTCATATGTGGGTTTCTATGTTACCCACTAAGATCTTAGTGTTACCCACTAAGATCTTGACTTTGGACTAGTCATCCAGTATTAAGGAGAGACTCAGAAAATATAAGATGAGAAAATAGAAGAAAATGAAACCACTTCAAAACCACATTAATTTTAGTGAAAATCACTTAATTTCTAGGAGTATTTCCAAAAGCATTTTCTGTATGTTTTGTTTGATTACTAGTATATTTGAGGAGAAGAACTGGAAAAAATTATTTTAAGTATTTTTTTGTTCTGGAAATTGTTATTAGAATAAAGTTTCATACCAGTGCAATAGAGTGGGTACTTCCAAAGCAAGTAGCTTTAAAAAATTCCTCACTTTATAGTAAGTTTGGTAGCTTGGAGATTATGTTTATAAACACTTCAATATCATTTGGTTGACCAATGTATAACTTCTTAAAATATCCTGCATGGTAGCAAAGAGACCAAAAGTGTTATCACTCATGGAAACATATTTGTTTTATAAAGGGATTGATTTGATACCTTTCAGAATATCCTTAACGAAGAAAAGAAGTAATTTTTGGCATGAAAAGGAACATTTTGCATCCAGAAGTTGACTGAAGTTTAGTTTAACAAATACAGGATTTCTTTTGCTGTACAAAGAAATCTTGTACTTGTTAAACTAAATTTTAGTCAACTTCTGGAAATTGGATCAATAAATTAGAAAATTGTGTGTGTGTGTGTGTGTGTGTGTGTGTATTTATGTGTGTCAGTAATAACACCAAAATGACACTCCTGTTTTGAATTGCAGAATAGTCATTTTGTGTCCCGGTATATGTGTCTTTTTTTCTTTAAGGACTTATTTTGTAGTGTTGTATTTTAGTCTGAGGTGTGTGCTGGACTTCAGCCCTTGCCATTCTTGCTGCAATGGCACAATAGGATATCTTACTGCGATATCTTTTAACCAAGTCTCCACATAACCCCTGTGAATATGTGAATCTCTAGTCACAGGTGCATGAGGATATACCAGTTTGTGGCTTGTTAGAATCTGTCTTTGCACCTGTGCCCATGAATCTACAGCACAACCACTCACATGTAGACTCAGCACAGCTCTCAGCCACTTCCTTCCCACTATTTAGAAAATAATAACAATAAATGTTTGTATATGTAGAACTAAATATAGTTGTAGTAGCTAAAAAATTCTAATAGTTATTAAAGGTTATCCTACAAGAACCAAGAAGCAAATCTGTTCATTAGTATCTTTGTAAATTTCTATTGAACAGAATTATTTGTGTGGCAGGTATGAGTGCAATTAAGAGCTGTGAATGGTGCATGGCGTTTTTCTCCTTGAATGGAAGTTAAAAATGCTTACAAGGGTTGAACACCATATTTATTCATATAAAAATAAATAGTTGAACAATTAGATATGTGGTAGGTTGCACCAAAATTAATTATCTAATTGCTTTCCTGGGCTCTAGTGTCCAGACTAGGCTATAACATGCTCACATCGGTCACAGTCTCATAGTCTGTGTTTTGATATAGATAATGGTTGCTGCCGAGTTTGCAGCACCTCACGTGGACCCCCAAAGGAGTTCCTCAGGCCCTGTCTCCTTCAGAGACATTGCAATCTTTATACCAGGAATGTTGACATTGACTGCAGTGTCAGCGCTCACTAAGGAAACTGTCCTGGATCTAGACCTTCGTATGGATTTTCTTCTAGATCAGTGGTCAGCAAACTGTGGCCCCTTGAGTGTGGCTCTTCCACAAAATACCACATGCAGGTGCGCATGCACAGTGCGATTGAAACTTCGTGGTCACACTGAAGGGGCTAAAGAGCCGCATGTGGCTCGCGAGCCGTGGTTTGCTGGCCACGGTTCTAGATGCTAATTTTCCTCTGGGTATTGCCCTGTTGAACCTCATTGCCTAGGTACCTTGAGATGATTATGAATAGAGTCAAAAATCCTCTGAGTGCTCCTAGTGGTCACCTACAGGAAGGAGAAAGGGCACACACTATAAAATGTGTGAGCTTTAATATCAATAATGTTTATGTATACTGAGAGCTCAAGTAGATCCATAATCACACGAAGAGGAGCATGTGCTGAAGAGAAAGCGCCTTTTATGGGAAATAAACTTCAGCCTTCCGGCTTTAATGTTTATCAGCATCTTCAGAGGCATTTATGGCCCCTCACACATTTCTTTACTATTCCTTTATTGATTAAGTAGTGATGCCTTCTGGACCTAGGGCATAGTCCACTATCTTCCCATTAAAATGAAGGAATACCTTGTTTGTTGCAGGTTCGTTTCAAGCAGTTGGCTTGTGGGAATCTGAGAGACGCTGCTGTCCATGACATGTTGGAGTTATCATGATCAACTACTCAGTCTGGATTTCACCCAGTGGCCAACAGATCTGCATGGTAGACAGCAAGGGTTGGATTTTTAAGAAGAGTAAACCAGGTAAGATTTGAGAGAGACATCTGATCCTTTATCACTTGCTCTAAGTCAGCTGTTCTCAACCTGTGGGTTGTGACCCTTTGGGGGTCGAACGACCCTTTCACAGGGGTCGCCTAAGACCATTAGAAAACACATATATAATTACATATTGTTTTTGTGATTAATCACTATGTTTTAATTTGTTCAATTTGTAACAATGAAAATACATCCTGCATATCAGATATTTACATTATGATTCATAACAGTAGCAAAATTACAGTTATGAAGTAGCAACGAAAATAATTTTATTTTGGGAGGGTCACCACAACATGAGGAACTGTATTAAAGGGTCGCAGCATTAGGAAGGTTGAGAACCACTGCTCTAAGGGCTTTTGTGTGCTGCCAAGCTGTATTGAATAACTTAGAGCTTTTGCATTTTTTTTTCTAAGTCCACTGAATGGGTTGTTAAAGACTGCTGATCCCTTGGATTCAGGAGAATATATATAGTAATAATTGAGTCCTTTTCCTCAAGCGGAAAGAGCAGTTCTTTTCGTATATGTGTAAAGCAGGCACAAGAATGCTATGGATGCTAGTTTAATGCAATAGCCAAAAATTGCAAGCTAAAGAGACTTCCTCTTTAACCCACTACTCTGAACCACAATGGAATAAACACTTGTACTTTTGAAGGTGCAGTAAAGAATGTGTTGCCATTAAATATTTACATTATAGAAATGTATCAGTTCATAGCATATGATCTTATAAATCACTTCAAGGTTACTCCAGTTTAGAAGATTATAGTATTATTCTGCCTTTTATTTCTTTGAAAGTATTTATCATTCTAATTTGTTCATCTAAGCATTATTAAAAATAATGATACAATGACATACTCTATTGTTATTGTGGCTTGTAGAATTTAAAATTTAGGTACTCTTTTCTACCTTTGTATATTATGTTCTATAAACAATTCTTAACTATTAACCATAGTTTGATCAGATCCTCTTATCTTTAACTCTCTTCCTCCTCCATGATATGATTTAACCTTGTTATTAACAATTACCTGAGGAAACCAGTTATTCTTGCTCTCTGACCTTAAGACCATTAAATATTTTATAGCTTATTTGAATTTTATGCATTCAAAAGCAAGAGTTTATTTATTTTTTTAAATATATTTTATTGATTTTTTACAGAGAGGAAGGGAGAAAGATAGAGAGTTAGAAACATCGATGAGAGAGAAACATCGATCAGCTGCCTCCTGCACATCTCCTACTGGGGATGTGCCCGCAACCCAGGTACATGCCCTTGACCGGAATTGAACCTGGGACCCTTCAGTCCACAGGCCAACACTCTATCCACTGAGCCAAACCAGGTTCAGCAAGAGTTTATTTTAATATCAACTATAGACACATAAATATATTATTGATTTTTTACAGAGAGGAAGGGAGAAAGATAGAGAGTTAGAAACATCGATGAGAGAGAAACATCGATCAGCTGCCTCCTGCACATCTCCTACTGGGGATGTGCCCGCAACCCAGGTATATGCCCTTGACCGGAATTGAACCTGGGACCCTTCAGTCCACAGGCCAACACTCTATCCACTGAG